GGGAAGCAGGTAGGATTAGGGTGTGGAATTGTTTGCTTTTTCCCTCTTAAGATGAGAGAAAAACAGCTTCTAAAATCTCTGGTTAACAGGTAGAATCTGCTTATCTTATCTTTGGAGATCAGAGGAAAGGCAGGCTGCTTCTCAGCAGAGTTTGTTTCCCTTGACTCCAAAGGTCAAGGTGAGGTCCCTGTTGGGGAGGGGGGAAACTGCTGCTGTTTGGAACCCTAACAGAGTGCCTGTGAGAAGCACTGGCTTTATGACAGAGAAGGCAGGAGGGTAAGGCGCATATATGCTACCTAGCAACATCCTTTTAAAATGACCCATAGCACTCATTTGGGTGTCTGCTATGTTATAAGCATTGTGAATACACTTGTTCTTCACACGAGTACTTTAAGACTGTTACCAAAGGACTTTAAAACCTTCAATTAAAGGTATGGCAGCTAATATTCAGAGACTAAGTAACCAATCCAAGGTTATACTTTGTAGGAAACAACACATTCCAACCTGTAAGTGTAGCATTTATTGATATTTATTTATGATACTAGGAATTGAACCAGGCCTCAGGTGTTCTAGGCAGGGGCTGTACCACTGAGCTGTATTCCCAGCCCTAGAGCTGTAATTTTAACAACTATTATTTGTCTTAATTTTGGTGGAAAAAATTAATTGCATTAATTACCTGTGTACCAGCCACTCTAAATACTTAATATGTATTATTTAGTCTTTACAATCCTACAAGTGTTAGTAGTATTCTCCCTTTGATTAAAAAAATAAGATAAATAAAAAAGATAATGTCACAAAGATGTTGGTTGCTTAGTGCCTTAACCCAAGCTAGTGCCAGAGCCATTTAGAACCAAAGTGACCTGACCTCTGCCCCAGAGTACTGACAGTGCTTCAGCTCTGATTATCTTTAAGGTATGTGGCAAATATGCCACAACTGTTCTAGCAACAAAATAAGTTTTTGTTTTGTTTTCTTCAAGGAATATATACCAATAAGCATCTTACAGAATAGTTCTGCAAATTTTTAACCCATTAGAGCTTTTTAAAATTTATTTAGTAAAGCTAGAACCCTGTGTGTAGTAACAGAAAAACTGTTTTATTAGTGACTATTTGCAACAGTTCTGAAAACATGACTAATTTCATTTGCTATTGCTGCCTGTCCCACAGCTCATGCGTTCACTTGTTGGTCTGCTTTGAGGTGAATCTCCCTCTAGAGCTCAGACTGGCCTCAAACTCATGCTCTCACCTCAGCCCTCCGCGTGCTGGCAGTACAGCAGAGGCGTGCCAGTATACCCATGCAACTGCACTTGATTGCTTTTAAATAAATGTCCAGTGACATATTTCTTTTCTAAAACTTATACAAAAATCTCAGCGGCATTGATAAGAGCAAAATAAAACTCTTGAGTTTTAACTAGTTTTGTGTTTTGAACAGATTCAGAATCATAAAGTTTAAGGAGCAGAAGACTATTGCAGGCCATGTAAACTGTGATCACATGCTAAAAATCCTGTGCTCTCCCACAGCTCATGGCTTCCACTAGCTCTGCATGTTCAAATTGCTTAAGTGGTTAAGTCATTTTAGAAAAAGATAATCTGAGACGTGGAGCAGTAAGGCCAGTGCTCACAACAGCTCTGATTCCATTCTCAGTGTATTACCTAATTAAATTTGGATTTTTCTCAGCTTTATCTTGCCTTTTCACTGGTGGGTATATCTCTTGTTCCAGATGTATGTAGTTTCTTCTAGATACAGTGAAAGATTTGCATTCATTGAAATTAAACATTCTAACTTGTACTGAACCCAAGGTTATACTCCTAAGTGCCCACACTTTCTAGCTCTAGAACAACCTTTAAGTGTAGTATTTCTTTTTGAGACCTGGTCTCACTATGTATCCCTGACTGGGCTGGAACATGCTATGTGACCAGGCTGGCCCAAACTCAAAGAGATCCTCCTGCCTCTGGCTACTGAATGCTGAGATTAAAGGTTGTACCCCTGTCTGGCTGGTGTTTATATTTTTTCATGCTCTTTTTCATGATAATAGTTACCAGTCTTCTGGCTACAGGATCTCCTTAAGTACCTTTTGTAAGATTGGTTTGATAGCCTATGAATTCCCCTAGTGTTTCGCTAATTTTGCTGAAAGTATTAATCTTGGTTTGTGGCTTATTTTGTTTCAGGATTTGGAGTAAGTTGCTGCATTCCATCATGGCCTGTAGGGTTTCTACTTAGGAATATTTTGTTAGTTCAGTGAAGATACTCATAAGTGTGACCTGGCATTTTTCTCTTGAAGATCTTATTAGTACTTTGTCCCATATTTTTGACAGTTTGACTATTACAAAGCATGGGGATTTTAAAAGATGTTATTGGACCTTCACATAATTCACTAGCTATGCAAATTACTCATATAATGAAGTTCTGCTTTGTTTGGTTTTTTGGGTGCTTAGGGATTGAAACCAGGACCTTCCTCATGCATGCTAAGCTTTAGTACCCCGCCCCCCATATATATATATATAAAGACATATATTTTGTTAAATGAATTTCAGTTAAAGAAATTGTATTGTTTTTGACCTTGAATACAAAGTCAATGACCAGTAGGTTCCACTTTGAAATAATGGTATGGTATCTTGTGTTTTCTGTCTCTATTTTGTTATTTCTGTCATCTTAAAGCACAGCTATGATGATAATTTTTTATAACAGTGATGATCTAGTGATAGACAAGTGAATAAGACTTGCTAGGGTTAGTATCATGCTTTTATATTCTCAGGCCTTGGCTGGGAGTGGTTGTAGAAACCTTTAATCATCAGCAGAGGCAGGTGGATCTCTGAGTTCCAGGCCAGCTAGGGCTACAGGGAGACCCTGTGTCAAAAAAACCAAAAAAAAAAAAAAAAAATTAGTAATAATAAAAATAAATGAATTGCCAGGCCTTAATCTACCTTTCCAGATTATCTTTTCTATTCTTCACATACCACATGTCAAAGGAAGTGTTAACACTAATTTTTGTCTGTCAGCCGTCTTACCTTCCTATCCCCATGTCTCTCGCTTGTTTTTTACCTATTGGCTCAAAGGCTCTTAACCATTTCTCCATTTGTAAGTCCTGTCATTCACGGTCCAATTTAAATAGTGCCCTTCTTATGCTGACCAGCCAAGAACATAATGCACATTCACCATGATTTATAAGAATATGCTGCTGTCTTCATGGGACATGACAGTAGTTGTTTATTGCCAATTTTGTATGATAGACCGCCATATATAATTTTTTTTAATGTTATATAAAAATGGTAATCTGTAGCATTAGGTTATAAATTTAGACAGAGATGATTCCTGCTTGTATATATAACAGCTCTTAAATGATGTCCCATCAGGAAGGGTCTTTTATTTTCCAAGGAAAACTCAGTATTTTAGGTCTAGGAAATAAATAGAATAACTTCACCATTGTTTGGGGGCATGATTGGTTGTGGACCACGGAATAGAACTTGCCAACATTGGTTATGGGACTGGTATTTTCTAGAATTCTTAGTGTAGAATGGTATTTCACTCTATGACCTAGGGTATCTTCTAATGTTCTGAAATGGTTCTGTGACTGCTAAAATCAGTGTGTCTCTTCTCTAGGAGCCCCCACGCCCTATGCACCCAGCGCCCTTACCTGAAGCCCCACAGCCACAGCGTTTACCCCCAGAAGCTGCCAGCACATCTCTGCCTCAGAAACCACACTTGAAGTTAGCGCGAGTTCAGAGTCAGAATGGCATTGTTCTGTCATGGAGTGTCCTGGAAGTGGACCGAAGCTGTGCCACGGTCGACAGCTACCACCTCTATGCTTACCACGAGGAGCCCAGTGCCACCGCGCCCTCACAGTGGAAAAAGATCGGGGAAGTCAAGGCTTTGCCCTTGCCCATGGCCTGTACGCTCACTCAGTTTGTATCTGGCAGCAAGTACTACTTTGCAGTACGAGCCAAGGACATTTATGGACGTTTTGGACCTTTCTGTGATCCTCAGTCAACAGATGTGATCTCTTCCTCCCAGAGCAGTTAAACCTTGGAGCCTTTATCTTCCCCTTTTGAAAGTTCCACTTTGGGGGCTTGTTTTTAATCTTGTGCATGAAACGCAATGTAAAATCCACATTGTGCAAGATTTCTTGGACAGATGTGTGTATACACTACATTTGTTTATAACCAGAAGTATAATAAACTCAGCCTGTAAAGCAAGAGTCTTCCCCTGAGCAATTCACGTGTCAGGATTTGAAATGTAAATGTGTACCTTGCTTTAGTGTTGAGGCTGGAGAATGTGTGAGTGTGTGTGTGTGTGTGTTTAATTTTTAAATTTCTATTTGTGTGTTTATTGCAGTGCAATCTACCATTTCATTCTCAAATTTACTTCTCTTCCAGTGTGAGGCAAACAGATCATAGGATCTGAGGTATGTAGCTGGCAAGATTGTGCTTAAGGGATCTCTAAGGTCAGAGTTAAGTGATTTGAACTGACTCCAAACAAAACCCAGAGAAATGCAAAAGCAAACCATGTAGTTTAAAATGGGTAGATCTGAGCACAGGAACTCATTCTATCCATCTTTTCTTCGGTGTCCTCTGGGTTGCTAATTATATGAAAATGATGTGCAGTACCTCTCCCCAATTCCAAATCTGGCTTTTACATTTATGTTGTGCCTTAAGACTAGCTATAGAAATAAACATGGCTGTGTGCTCACTGCTGTTCCCTCCTGTCCTTTCAACTTTCATTTCTCCTCATCTCACTAAATGTACCACACTCCTTTACGTCATTGTTAAACCATATTATATATATGTGTGTGTGTATATATGTGTGTGTATATGTATGTATGTGCATATGTAAATGTGTCTATGTGTTTTCTTCTCATCTGTGACATCATTACATTTAACTCTAAAAACTTGGGTTTTTTTTTTCCCCAAGGACATATGCTTTCATTTTTGCTTATTATTTAACTCTGCATAAAATAGACTGACCATATTGTTTAAGAAGACTTCCATAAATGTTTTCTCATCCCTGGGGGGATGCAGTTCTCTTTCATCACTCACAGTGTAGTCTTTCATAGGCAGCAAAGATTAAAACTCACAGAGCACAGTGAGCTGGGCCATGAAGGTGAATTCTCAGCTTCCTGTTTATCCTCATGGTCATCCTTCCTGTTTCAGTCTTTTGCCTTTGTTTTGGTGGTGCCAAGTGGAGTCTGATTTAGCCTTTATCAGCTTTGGATAGAACTTAAAAGTATATTATCCTTTGGGGTCATTTCATATAACAATTAGATATAATCAACTTGGTATTTCCGGTCCTCTGCGGAGTTAATTAAATTCAGGTTAGGTCATGACTTTTCAAGGATGCCAGTGCCAGTGGAATCGGTGTTTGAATGTAAATACTGAGGGCGGAAGGGCAGAGTGTGCGTGGCAGTATTTTGGAAGGTATTCATTCATGAGGTTTGAAATGAATTTTCAGGCCATCTTCCCTTAATAATTTAATTCATATTTCTCCCTCCCCAAAATGAATTAGTTATTTCCTGGCGTTGAAAGAGAGGGAGTTACATCCCTTTTAGGAATGCTGTTTTCTTTTTCTGCAACTCTGATGACTTCTAATAGGAAGTATTTTAGTTGTGAAGAAATCGTCTTTGGTGAGTTTTCCCTCGTCGCTGTTCTGTCAACTTTGGTGTAAAGTTTGGTTAATGAAGGAAGCCTGCAGGTTGCCAAGTGTGACTGTTCCAACCCTTTTCACTCTCAGGAAAGTGAGAGCACAGGGAGAATCAGTTTGCACAAATTAAATCTGCCAGCCAACTGTGCTGATAAACAATAGCTGTAAGGTGGCTAGTGTGCTGTGGTAATGAGAATTTTGAAAGGAAGAAATTATCTTGTAGATGTACATGAACATCTGTCTATATGTGCATGCATATGCATCCTTATCTGCAGTCGTTGTAAAGTTGATGTGTTCAAGATCTTTCCTCTCAATAACACTGAAAAGTCCATATTCCAAGTTTTCACTGATGCAGTCTGCTTACCAGACAACGAAAGGTTCCATTGGTGGATATTGTAATTTGTACTCGCTAGTCACTCTATATTCACTGATTCTTTTTAAACGTTTTCATAGCATCATGTTATCAGCTGATGAAAGCCCAATAGAATTAATGTATTTCATTGTTTGGACTTCTATTTGGGTGTTTTTATCAAAGGAAAAAAAATTCTCTAATAACTCTAAGTTTATTACAGAAAGTACTTACTAAAAATTTATGCCAGATTGGAAGGAAGATATGAAGAAAGATTGTAATTATGTAAGGGAAAAATACACCTGTTAAAATAGTCTCCTCTAATGCACCTTCGACAAGGCTTATGGAAAGTCGCTGTGTTGGGCTGCTTAACACTGGTAGGCTGGAAGGCTGGCCCTTTTATGGGGCTATTTTATGTGCTGACTTTTGGTTGGTTGGTTGTTTTCTTTGGGAGACAGAATGAAGGACTTCACAGGCAATAGCTATAGAAACAGAGTTCTTAGTAGGGGTTCACAGTCCACAGTTGTCTTATTTCATGGTATCCCTTCACAAAGTATTATAAATAAGCTCAATTATCCCATTTTCGGAATGCAGGTTTGCTGCATTTTTAGCCGGACAATGCTGGTACAAGTATTGCCTTATTGGGACCCTGGAAACTTCTGATATTTCAACCTGAAATGCAGGGTGTTTCCATGGTAATTCGTGCTGACAGTCATGTTTGTTACTCCCTACTTTGCACCTTGTCAGAGTGCTCTTCACCCCGTTTCAAGCGTGAGCAAGCCTTTCTCAAAATTACGTTCTTACTAATGGCATACATTTGACATCTGTTTAACTGTTACCTTTACCTTTTATATCCCTCTTTCTCTGGGCTTGAGTTTTTAAATATGCAGAGTACATATACTGTTTAAGATAGTATCACTTTGTGAGTAGAGAGCTTACTTCCTTGAAAAGTGATTATTTGTCAAATATCATTTGCCTCACAGAGAGGTGTCCTCCCCATACCCCACCCCTATGCTAGATAGTAAATTCCTTGGAAAACATGCTTGGACTCTTCATGTGCCTCTCTGCAGACCCCTTGCAGCAGTGGACGAGTGGTTAACTCAGCTTTTGTTGCTTACCCTTTGGCTTTAAAAATCCTCTGTCAGTAGGCAGAAAGGTTAGTGTCAATGCTGCATGGCAGGCACTTGGTGTACTCCATGAGTTTTCCAGTACTATATACGGTGAACAGCGTGCTGTCCGTGGTGTTCTCATCTCACCTCCGTGCACTGTGACCTCAGCACGGTGAGGTACCGCAGAGGTGGCCTTCCCAGGGTTCTCCCTAACTTTCCTTCTTGGGCAATTTCAGTGTCCTCAGCACTATATTTTTAATCACTGACCTGTGGTTGGTTGGCCTGTTTAATTCTCATGGAAATAAACATGTCCTCGTGTTAGATGACAGTAACTGTGTAACCACATCTGATTCTGCCTCTTTGTATTCTGCCTTCCTTGGCTATTTTCTGGGCAAATGGCTCTAATTTTTTTCCTTTTGTACACACAAAGATTAGAGCAGTAATCATGAGTTTGTTAATTGTGGCAGACTTACCTAATTCCCAAAATTCATGTATCTCTTGAGCCAGCCTGAAGGGAGGAGGAGACTGAAAACACATGCTTTGTGTTGTCGTCTTTGAATGTCTTTATCATGTTAGAGACTTTTTCTTATTTTTTTTGGTAGAAGCAGCAAAATACCTATCATTTATGTATTTAAATGTATTTTTGTTTTCCTTTTTCTTTTTGTAAATAAGGTAACTGAGCAATCAAATACCTTTTGGGGATTCTAGCTTTAGTATTTTATCAACCATTTCAAAAATATAAAAAGAAATCCTTTGTAGAAAATTTGCATCCGATTTTGTTTATTGCAGTTGAACCTGTAAATAATAAGGCAGTGGAAGACCTTCCTAATGTCTAATATTAACTGGGCTGTAGCAGGTTGCCCTATTTTTATTAGGTTTTGAAGGTTTTAAATTTTCCTTTCTTAAATGTACAGTAGCGTGGTGTCTGTGTAAGTGTTAACTGTAGTGGGGATTTGTCCAGCAAGCCTGAAATTTATACTTTGAAATAAATGACTGGGTTTTTAACATTCTGAGTACTGTGATTTATTCCATGTTCTTAGCATATGTGTGCTTGTGTGCACGTGTTTTCTTTTGAAAAACTACCTTGTTTTTAGAATCACCTTATTTAACCTACTTGGCAATTTGCTGTCATTCATCCTGTATATAATTCTCTGGCTTTGGAGTAAAAGTTGCTGTGCAGAATTGCTGCCAGAATTGCTGGGAAACAAAAGTGTACTTAACAATATTGTATGTCTAGCCTGCACCACAAAGATTCACCTGATACCTATTAATGACCACAAAATATCACAAACTGCATTTCTGTTAGAGCCCCACTGTCCCCTAGGACTTTGTCATCAAGCATGAACCGGCCAGGGGATAAAGAAAAAACCTGGAAAGGGCACAGGTATTTAACGGTCCTAAGTCACCCTCATCTTATGTTCCATTGGCTAGAACGCTTGTCATGTGAGCTGTGATCTGCGTCCGCAGGCATGAAGGGAGGATAATAGATTTTGACAAATGGGAGGTTTCTGCTACATGTTTATGCTACAGTGCTTCACCCTTGCTTGCTGTTAAAAACAAAGTTAATGGAAAAGAAAAGTGAATTTAGTATATTTTATTGAGTACTGATGGGACAGGATAGCTAAAATAGTGCCTTGGGTGTCTTTGCAACTCTATTTTCTCCTTTCCATTTTACATCCTGTGCTAAAATTGGTTTCATGGTAATGAAATCAAAGTCATAGGCTTCTGGCATCCCCTGATGGAGAGTTTTGTTGAACCGGTTCCAGTGAAAAGCAGGGAGGCCATTTTGTACTGTGGGACCACTAATGGCATAGGACATGTACTGATACGCGAGGTAGACGTCTGACACCTGGAAACAGAGGACATTTTAAAAAACCATTTGAAACCTGACTGATTACATAGTTTTCATTTCCCCCCTCTCAAAGTCACAATATGAGCCTCCCTTAAAACTTTTCTGCAAGCTATGTGTGCTTCCATATCCATCTAGCACTCAAAAGTGAATTGACTGGGAGGAAGTATTAGCAGGGTAGCCAGAAGCGAGACTGGGAGTATGTACTAATAATAGAATTCTAGGGGCTGGAGAAGTGGCTCAGCGGTTAAGAGCAATGGCTGCTCTTGCAGAGGACCCGGCACCCACATGGAGGCTAACAATCATCTGTAGCTCCAGTTCCAGGGGATTCAACACCCTCTTCTGTGGCCATTGCACCATATGGGTGCACTTAGGTACAGGCAGGCAATACACTCATACACATAAAATAAAATAAAATATTTTTAAAAAGAATTCTAGGGGCTGGGGAGATGGCCGCTAACAACAGTTCGTAACTCCAGTTCCAGGGGATCTGATGCCTTCTGACCTCTGCAGGCATTGCATGACACAGGTGCACTAATACACATGCAGGTAATAAGACTCATACACATAATAAAATGTTGTTTGAGACAAATGCAATGCTTTACACTTTGCTTCTGAATGTTTGCAAACACCATGACAAAAAAAATATGAAGACATTCATGGTGCCCCTTTCCCCTTTATTTGCATTACACAACATTGAGCATCGTAGGTGGAGCTCAAACTGCGGAAAGTATCTCTTAAGTATGAGGCTATAGTGTCAAAGCAAAGTTGGCGGTCCTGTAATTTATTTTTTCAGTAATTCAGAGCAGTTCACGATGGTGAAGTTTCGAAGACACATACGTAAGCTACAAAATGCAGAATAATCCTACCAACTTAATGGCCGGCTCAGGCTCTGGACAATTCCCAGCCCGGTAGTGTGCAGGAAAGGCTGGAGCAGCCAGCTCTCAGGAAAGAAGCCCTTGATTTGTAGTGTTCACTGACAAACTAGTGTTTAAATTCTCCCACTGTGGCTGACTTCAGTCCACCAACATGCTGTGAGCAGGCTTCCAATGTTGTGACACCCACAGGAACAAGTCTGAGCACACTGCTGCAAATCTATGACCTAAACTGAGACGTGTTCTAGCACTTGTCGATTTGAGCATTGGCTACATTCATGTTTAATATACAATCACAATGCTCTCAGTAATATGGTCTTTGACTGTGGGGCATCATGGTAAAACATTACCACCACTGGGATTACATATACTTACAATGCTGTGCTAAATGTTTCATGGGAATTACAGGGTTAGTCACTATATGAAGGTAAATTCTGTTATTTTTTACTTTATAAACAAGAATATGGAAGGCTACAAAATTAGGAAATTTACTATTAAGAGGCAGAGCAGGGACTTCTAAAAAGACAGTGGGATCTGCTGCCAGAGTCGAAAAAATTTTTAGTTTATGGTTGAAGACATTGGGCTTTATGCCAAGGAAACCTGCAGGTTTGACTCCTGATGTGAAGTAAATTGAAGGGGATGGAGATTTGGTGCAGTGATTAAGAGCACTGGCTGCTCTTCTAGAAGACCCAGTTTCAGTTCCTAGCACCCACATGGTGACTAACTACTGTTTCAGGGGATTCAACACCCTCTTCTGACTGCCATGGGAACTGCCTTATATACATAGAGGCAGTACTTATACACTTAAAAAATAATAAAATATTAAGAATAAAAGGAAGTAAATTGAAAAGCAGTAGCATGTCAGTTACCTTTGTATCATAGCAACCTCCAGGGCTTGGATTAGCTGAGTTCAGGTCCTCACGACAGCAGATGGTACTGCAGGGATCACCATGAGTGTAAGGGTCCACTTGATAGTCTAGGAGATGGTGATGGGGAAAGAGTAGGTGTTGGCTATTTCCAGATACACTTATCCACAGTAAGGTTTTGGACCGATTAAAGCAGATTATTAAAGAGTATGTTCCCACAGGTTTCTCCAGCCCAGCCTGCTCCCAGATGCTGGCATCTCTGGGCTTGTACTAGGGAGGCGTGACTAACTATTAATACTCTGCTGCAGGCCCAGCCTGCATCAAGAACCATGCACTGTGAAGCATGGAAGGAAGAGCAGTGAAGGACATGGATGTGCTTCAGTGTTTTCCAACATAGGAAATACAAGTTTGACTTTTAGAGTCTTCAACAAAAAGAATGAATTCATGAGTATTTTTGGCTTTTTAGCTGCTTTTGCCCTTGAAAGGTGTGCTGGGGGGGGGGTGCTCGGCCATCATCATGTCTTCTGGGTTTTACATGTAATTTATTTTCCCAGTTAAAAAAATCTGTAGAGCAGTGTGTGGTGACACACCCCTGTATTTCAAGGTCATGTTTGGTTGGCTACATAATGAATTTGAGGCCAGCCTATCTTAAAAAAAAATCAAGACAAAAGAAAACCTGCAGAATCTCCTCAGATTTTTTTCATTTATATGTGTATGCACATGCACACATGCATGCTATGGTGTCCATGTAGAGATCAGAGGACAGTTCCAGGAGTCAGTTCTTTCTGATCATGTGGGTCCAGGGGATGGAGCTCTGGTCATCATCCTTGGCAGTAACCACCATTACCTGCTGATCCACCCCAAACACCTTTCAAAAAGTTCTCTGAGAGTTTATAAAGGAGGCAAATGTTCTATTTGTTGAACATAAAATATAGAAAACTTTAAAAATATTTATTATTTTTAGTTCATATGTATGAGTCTATTGCCTGCATGTATGTAAGTGCACCTATGTCATGCAATGCCTATGAAGGTCAGAAGAGGACATCGGATTCCCGGGAACTGGAGTTATAGATGGTTATTAGCTGCCATGTGGGTGCTGGGAACCAAACCTGAGTCCTCTGCAAGAGCAGCCAGTGATCTTAACTGCTGAGCCATCTCTCCAGCCCTTCAGATAACTTATAATTCCTTCTAGTACAGAGATGATAAACTTACATGGATTATTTATCCATGAGGAAGAAAAGGAGTTTGAAGAAGTGCTCTTGAGAAATATGCTACATACTGTTGTATCGCATGATATGCTTCATGGAAGCCATGTCAGTCACGTTCCCATGGTCGCGCCTAAAGATTTTGGCTCGTGGAGCTAAGTCGTAAGAGTAGTCCAAACCCAGCTTTTCAACCAGCAGTGGGTAGCCGCTCCACGTGTAGATCTTCTCATGGAAAGGAACATTGTAGGAAGGCCAATATCCTGATTTGGAGTGGAGGAGAAGGGTGGGATGGAACAGGGTTGGGGGAAGGAGAAGGGGAGCAAGGTAAGTTATTTAATGATGGCACGTTTGGAAAATCCTACCTGTATGATTACAAAATGAAGCAGCACAGGAATTAGGCTGTGAATGTGAGCCTGCAACCCAAATGAGCCCTTTTAAATTTCCAGAGGCAGTAAAGAAGAAGAGCATCAGAAATCTTGGGTTTTCACCCCCAAATTGTTAATGCGATTTATAAACCAGAAAATAACCTTATTCTCTGTTGAAGCATACAACGGTGCTGCGGCAGGGGGTGGGGGCTCCCTGAAATCCCTCTGGTGACTGAGATGCCCTGAGGATGACAGCAGATGCTGATCATAGTAACAGAAAACAAGGCACTGAACTCAGAAAACTGGCATTCTAGGCTCTTGAATGAAGAACCAGGTCTTAGTTAACCCCACTTCCTTTATTCTTTTTGGTGAGGACAGAAGGGAGGAGGAAGCCTATGCTGGAAGGGCACTGGGATGGTCTTTCATGTTCCAGCAGCAGGCTTTTAACTCTTCTGACTGAAATCATTTTAACAGTCATGTTAAATGTTCAACAGCCCATTGTCATGTACCATGGCCACACCTCGAGTCACTAAGCACCAGATCTGAGACACAACTATAGCAAACACATCCTAGACCATCCTAGATTATTACACCAGCCTCGGTTATTGCCTGGGATCATCAGTCAAAACAGGGTGTTCTTGCCTTTTGTGGTGGTACCTGCCTTTAATCCTAACACTCAGGAACCAGAGGTAAAGCTCTGTGAGTTCCAGGCCAGCCTGGTCTACATAGTGAGTTCCAGGCTAGCAAGAAACTGTTTAGTGAAATTCTGTCTCAAAAATTAAAATAAGAAACTGGAGAGATGGCTCACTTGCTTAAGATCATTGGCTGCTCTTGCAGAGGACCTGGGTTTGGTTTCCAGCACCCACATGGTGTCTAACAGCCATCCATAACTCCAGTTTCAGGGGATCTGATGCTCTCTTCTGGCTTCTGCGGGCATTGCACCCACTTAAATTGCATATACTTAACATGTATGCAAAACACACACATACAATGACACCTGTGGATCTGTGTTTACTGTAGCATTGTTCATAATAGCTAAATTAAGGAATTAGTCCAGTGACCAGCAACAATTAGATTAAAAAATGCGTTTTACTGAGGGCTGGAGAGATGGCTCAGCAGTTAAGAACGCTGACTGCTGTTGCAGAGGACCTGGGTTCGATTCCCAGCACCCATGTAGCAGCTAACAACCATCCATAACTCTAGGTCCAGGGGATCTGACACCATCTTCTGACATGTGTGGGCACTACATGTCATGGGTGCACTTACGCACATGCAGGCAATACACATATACAGAAAATAAAATTAATAAAGCTGGGTGCAGTGGCTCATGTCTTTAATCCCAGCACTCAGGAGGCAGAGGCCAGCAGATCTCTGTGAGTACCAGGCGAACTGAGACTACAGAGAGACCCTGTCTCAAAAAGACCAAAAATAAAATAAATAAATAAAATAAAAAATGTGGATTATATACACAGTGGAGTTTCCGGAACCACAAAGAGGAATGAAATGACGTCGTCTGCAGGAAGTACATATAACTGGAGATACCACATTAAGTGAAACGAGCCAGGAGTTTCTGCACTTGAGGAAGTTCCTGTTTTCTCTTGGCCGCTGTGTGTTACTTTCCTTTTTACTACTATGTGGGATCTCCTAGTTAGAGGGGAAGACGGACAAAGCAAGATCTTAACCTTGCTACTTCTGAGGCAGAGTCAGGGCCACAGAGAATCGAGGTAAGGAAAACATTGAAACGAAAAGGTAAGATCCAGACTTGTTGCTAGGACATAACTAGGTTATACGGACTCGGGAGGAAGATGGCCTGAATCTGAGCCTGTTTCTGACATTATTATGTATGTAACCTTGGAAAAATTATTCAACTTCTCTGTGCCCTAATGTCTTCATCTTTATAATGTAAGCAATGATACCTTATATGAATAATTTGTACTTTAGAAGGATCACTGTGGGCACTAAATGTGTTCAAACAGATGGAATGCTTACAATAATGCTAGCCTTAGTAAACAGATTGGCAATAGTCATAACGGCTCTGAGAAAAGTAGAAATGGACTGCTTTATTCACATTTTCATAAGGCCTTTTAATTTACAAAAGTATTTTAAACAGTAGCCTATTTATTCACAGATCAACCTGGTGATATTTAAGTATTATCATCCCCTCTTGTAGGGACAACGCAGGCTTAGAGGTCATTTGCCTGCCTTGGCCTTCACAGCCTGGCTTAAAGGCTCAGAATACAGAACTTTGCACTAGAAAGCACCACAGTCTCCATCCCACTCCAGTTCCAAATGGCTGGGGGCTTCTTTTAAAAACTGGCTGCATAATATCATTTATTTGAGACCATCTCCTGTTTCTTCCTGAACCTTTTATCTTCACAGTAAAATGGTAACAATGATATTTATCTGATAGTTTCTGATAAAGACCAAACAACAGAACATAAGGGAAAGACCCAGAGGAGTATCTAGAATATGAAACAGTTCACTGAGTGTGACCAAGTTCTCCGTTCTTTCTCTGGCAAAGAAATGTACAGATCAGCATCAGCTCTCTTTTAGCCTTAGGGAAGTTTCATGGAATCTAGGAATCGGATTGCAGAGACCAATCTGTCATGCTACATATGACAGTCCAAACAAGAAAGCACCAAGCATAGCAAGCATCTGACTTCCAAGGACCACTGTTAGGTGCTTAGAGGCCAGCTGGTTCAGAATGATATGACTAGATTATCTGAATTGCTACGCCCAACAATAACTTCTTAATAACTTGACTTCACAGGTGGATTATGTAGGAACAAAGCGAAGTCTCTTTGGTAGAATGTGAACTGCCTGACAAAGGAAACTCTTATGTTTTTGTTTAATGGGGGAAAGGCTCACAGGCCCCACCCCTTCCTGAGGAGCTACAGGTGGTTAACAATCGCTAGAGGAGAGACATTTTCTTCAATAGCATACCACTGGTAAGTTGCCCATGTTCCTGTAAATGACCCTAATTAAACTAATTTGGGTCCCCCCTCCCTGCCAAAACATTTTTTAAATTAATTTATTTTTATTTTATGTGTATGGGTGTATTGCCTGCATGTGTGTAAATTCACCCGTGTCATGCGATGCCCACAGAGGTCAGAAGAGGGTGTCGGATCCCTGAAACTGGAGTTTTGGATGGTTGTTAGCTACCATGTGGGTGCTGGGAATTGAACCTGGGTCCTCTGTAGGAGCAGTCAGTGCTCTTAACTGCTGAGCCATCTCTCCAGCCCTCCAAAAAAAAATTTTAAGTCATGAAACCAGAGGGAAACTAGTTGGGAAGAGGAAGGGGATCAGTAGGAGGGGAATGAAAGAAGGGGAGGGGGTGGATGTGATAAAAATTTGTGTATAAAATTGGCATTGTGAAACCCATTATTGTATATGATTAATGTAGGCCAATTTAAAAAAAATTTTTTTTTAAAGTAAATATAGGAAAGAGGCAAGTGTCATTAAAAAACAGAATTGAAAGCTTGGGAAACAGGACCTGGTCCCAGTTTAGTCCCCAAATTCACTTTATCTTGATTTTGTCCCTACTTACCTATCAGTGTGACTGTTCCAACAGTGTGTTATTTTCCTTCCCTTCCAGAAGACTCTCTAAAGAGTCTCTTTTTCTAAAGAACAAAGATTAAGCTGCCTAACAGGATTAATGAGGCCAATGGTTTTTCCTCATTCTTTTCTATATCAATGAATTCTTAGGATCTACCCTGTGAAGTCATAAAATTCCATTGTCCCCATATCCAAAAACACTTGGTGGCTGAATGAGTTTCAGAATTTTTCAGGTGTTGATAGAGTCTGAATCTCCTGGAAAACCCCTCACAACGAAGATGCTGACCTTTTTTATAGTCGAGTTTGTGCTATGGTGTGGTTATAGGTGCGTCCCCATCACCAAGATTCTCACATGTTAAAGACTTGATTCTCAGTGGGTGCTTCTGTAGAGGTGATGGATCACCAGTAACCCACTCAGCTATGGATTTACTGGAAGATCAGGCCCAACTAGAGGAAGTGGGCTGCAGGGGGTGTCTTCGAAGGCTGTATCTTGTCCCTGGACGTTCCTCTGGTCTCTGCTCCCTGACTGCCATAAGGTGAGCAGCTTTCTTCTACCATGCACATGGCACACAATGTCTTGCCTCATCAGTGGCCCAGAAACAACAGACTGGAATCTCTATAATGGTGACCCCCAAACCAATCTTTCCTCACTTAAGTTCTCATCATCACGTATTCTGTCACCATGACAAAAAGCAACTATTACAATAAGCAATGTCTCTACAAAGATATAAAGACAATAAATAGATAGTTTGAGTCTATTTTTGCCAATTTTTGGCAGCTTTTCCTCTGCCACATTAGTTCCGTTCGGACCATATTTTCCTACCAAGTAAGCTAGGACCAAAACAATAATTTTGGTTTTACAGTTCTGAGATTTTTTTAACTGGCAAGCAACTGATTGATGAAAAGAGTGAGGATTGGAGAGGTTGAATCATTTATGTGAGATTTTTCAGGAGGAGAGATTCAAATCAAGGGCAAGCCAATTCCTGAACTTCAGCTATCTAGGCTGTGCCCTTGATGGCCCAAACCACCTTCTCTGATCCCTCATAGAAACAATGGTATCCCTCTTTAGGCACTACAAGGCTTGGTATACTAAACCTTATTCTGGCTCTTCCCATTCTGGGTTTATGTGCTATGCTCTAGAGTTCCTGGAGGGAAACCTAGAGGACATCCTTGTTTTTCCAGCCTCTTAGAGTAGCACTCCTTAAATATAAGCTGAGTTGAACTTAAAGCTTAACACTCAGAACTCAGGAAAGGCATGGGAAGTCAGAGGGGTGGGAATGCTTGACCTGTGTCCCAATCTCCCATTAGAGTTTGAGGTATACTTTTATATTCTGTGTTGAGCCTGATAATTCTTTCCCAGGATAACTAGTCCTGAGCGTCCCCCTCCAATCATCCACTCTCACACAACATACCCCCAGCACACATACACACACGGTGATGAATAACTTTGTCAACTTCGTATGACCTGGGAAGAAAGTCTCAGTGAGAGACTGTCTAGATCACGTTGGCCTGTGGGCATGTGTGTGTGGGATTGTCTTGATTGCCTTAATTGATACAGGAAGACTCAGCCTGAACATGGGTGGTACCATTCCCTGGGTATAGAGAGGTCTTAGATTGTATAAGAGTGCAGAAAGCCATCCAGCTGACTACCAAGCGTGCATCATGAACCTTCCTCTCTGCTCTTGACTGTGGATGTGATGTGGTGAGCTGTTTCATGCTCCTGCCTTGACTTTTCCACAATGATGGACGGTAACATGGAATTCTGAGCTCAAATAAACACTTTTTCCCCTAAGTTGCTTTTTGTCAGCAACAGAAATAAAACTAGGACCCACATGCACGCACATATTCTCCTCAGACTTTCAGATGTACCAGGAAGGTACCTTTTCGTAGAATATTCGTTTGTTCAGTATATTCTACATATGTAGGGATTTGCTCCACAATGTACAGCGTGCCTTTGTCAAGGCTCTTCTTCAGATTCACCTTCTTCAGGTCCAAAACCATGTACTGATTGTTGTAGGTGCCTGAAATGTTGGGTGACATGAGGACAGAGCATGGATATTGGTTAATAACCTCTGAAGCTAAACATATGTACATGCCTGAAAGTTATTGTGCAGAGTCACTTACCAGAGTTGTACCGTGAAAATATCTCTGCCCACTCCTTGCCACCAGTTGCCATCATGTTGGCTACACGGACTCTCTGCCAGGCCAAGAGAGCCTCGGGTACCACCAACTTCAGCAAGGTTTGATTATACACATTGTTGGTGGTCTGCAACAATACCAAGCCACTGCTAAGAATGTAGAAGTCATCCAGAGACTCTAAGAACCCTACAAGAAAGACAAATACACAGATTATCACATGAACACAAGGTCCACTCAGTCATCATCAACTTCAGATACACAGTACAGATGGCAAAGTGCACTTAGGATTTTCCTGACACTAGCAGGCCCTCCCAGCTTCAGCGCACCTCCTTGGTAGCTACTCAGTTGCTGTCAACGGGAGTCGGGGGGTGGGGGAACCTCCTCCCCTGGGTTCTCGGTTGACAAGGTTGGGACATCTGAGGAGGATTTGTGTGTATGTGTGTACCCCAGGGGACGGGCAGTGTGTGAGATTTCTGAAATAACAAACAGAAATAGATCCCTACTTGGCAGGACTTGGTAGAACTTCTAATTAGATCTGCATTTCAGTTATATGTGCTGTTTATTAGAAATTTGCCTATTTCCATTCTGCCTCTGATAGCCTGGGACTAAGTGATGTCAGTCAGCTCTAACAATCTAAGTTGAATTTCAGAATTTCAGAGCAAGAAAGTTACATAGAGAGAAGTGTTTGACTTTTACGAGCTTCTCCACAGGCTGCAGTTAGGTACAGGGATGTGCGAACTACAGTGAGTTACATTCTCTGGGTTGTTCAGGGCCCATTGTACCCTTGAATGAAATGTCGATGAATAACCAAACGGGGAAGACACAGCCTGGATATAGGATGGAGCATGGGACAGTTTTAGTGACAGTTCATTCATTCCTTCCCTAGGCAGTTCTCATACTGAACAACCGTGCTTGGGAGACTGTAAAACTCTGTAGCAGTAAAATCCTCCCGGGGTAGGATGCCATCCATGGTGGCGGTGCTCCAGCTCCAGCTCCTGCTCCTGCTCCTCCTCCTCTTCTTCTTCAACTCTTCCTCTTTTAAAGATTTATCTTTTTAATTAAAAAAAATTTTTTTTGACAGGGTCTCCCTGTTCTCAGTCTGCCTGGAAGTCACTATGTAGTCCAGGGTGGCCTCAATTTCACAGAGATCCACCTACCTCTGCCTCTTGAAGGCTGGAATCAAAGGTGCATGCCACCATGCCCAGTGTTTAAAAATATTTTTTAAAAAATTTTATTTTATGTGTATGAGTGTTACACCTTCATGTATGTTATGTACCCTTGTCATGCAGTGCCCACAGAGGCCAGAAGAGGGCATCTGATCCCCTGGAACTAGAGTTACAGTTGGTTGTCAGCCACCATGTGGGCACTGGGATTCGAACCTGGGCCCTCTGGGACAGCAGCCAGTGCTCTTAACCACTGAGCCATCTCTCCAGTCCCTAAGAGACTTATTTTTAGTGTTTTAAATGATGTGTTTGTATGTGTCTCTGTGTACACGAATGCAGGTGCCCCCAGCAGGCACTGGATCCCTTGGAACTGGAGGTACAGGCAGTTGTGAGCCACTTGATATGGGTACTAGGCATTGATTCGGGTCCTCTGCAAGAGCATGATCCTAACTAGTGAACCATCTCTCCAGCCCCATGCTGTTTCAGAAACAGGAAGCTTGCTACTTCACCCCTTACGTTGTAACAACCGTTCTGGACACAAGAGGGCAGGCATTCTTTAATATGTGAAAGTGAATGACTAATATGTGAAAGTGAATGCTTGAGGGATATTCTCCCATTTTAGAGCTAGGATCTTTATTAAAAAGACTGGAAGACAGAAAAACATAGGCTGCCCAGAGTTCAGGAATAACAACCACAAAAAGATGAATTGGTTTGTAAAAACTAGTTGAGGAGGACAAGTCTATGAAGAGAGTAAAGGAAAAGTCTCAGGAGGGGACAAACTCCCAGTACATTGCTCAAAAGGGAAACACTGGCTATACAGAATTATATCCCTGCTCCCAGCTCTCATTAGCAGCTCCGGAAGGCGGATTAACAATTAGGAAAAAATCAAACTCTCCAGTGTTTTATAAATGTCAGCCCTCAGACATCTCACGGTAAGTGCTTTACTGAGTTTAACAAATAAACAGGAACTTTTTCAGTAAACCAAGCATACTTTAAGGGCCAGCAAGATGGCTTCAGTGGGTGAAGGCACTTGCCACCAAGCCTTATGACTGAGTTCTATCCCTGGAAAACACACACACACACGCACGCACGCACACATGCAAACACACAAACACACACATGCACACATACAAAATAAATAAATGTAAAAATATTTTTTAAAGGTTAATTTAAGATTTGTAAAGATGATCATGGTGGTACCCACTTTAAAATTTCAGAACTCAGGTAGGAGAATTAAGAGTTCAAAACCCAAATAACAAAAATAAATTGTAACCACTATTCCTACAGGCCATGTCGACCTATTAGTACAACTCAAAATGTTTGCCCTGATTATCTCATTAAGCATGTGTATAATGTGTCCCTGTGTACACTGCATGCATTAGCTGCTCCAGAGCCCAGGGGCTGCACACCAACCCACTGCTGACCGAGGACAGTGAGTAAGTAGTTCACCCCTTTCACTCCTTAGGTTTCACTAACCTAAGTCAACACTGTCTAAAAATACTAACTGGAAAATACTAACTGGACATGGTGGGGAATGCCTGTGATCCCAGCACTCAAGAGGCTGAGGCAAGAAGATCATCACAAGTTTGAGGTCAGCAACGTTACAGGGAGTTCTGAGCTACAGAGTGAGTCTCTCTCTCTCTCTCTCTCTCTCTCTCTCTCTCTGTCTCTCTCTCTCTCACACACACACACAAAACAAACAAGAAAAAACATTAACTATTTCATAATTTTATTATAATATATTGTTATAAATTTCCTATTTCAATTACTAATCTCTTATCCTGCCCAATTTATAAATTGAACAGATTGTAGTTATATGTGATAGGGAAAAAAGTGAGTGTAGAGCTCAGGACTACCTGCTTCTGGCATCCGCTGGAGATTTGGAACGTATTCCATCCCAAACTGACTTATAGATAGCTCAGGGACTAACACACAGTCCATGGCTGTGGTGAATTAGCTACACTGCATTTTTTCGCTCCTCTGCCCACACACTGCACAATGGGACTTCACAGCATTTCCCATCAACCAATGCTATTGACTTCTCTCTTCAAACTGAGTTGGATTTAGATCTGAGCGGAGGAGCACTCAGGAGACCCTGCTCACTTCTGCTTACTCTTCTAGCCTTGACCTGCCTTGCAAACAGGCCTGACTAGCCTGGGGGAGCATCATATAAAAAGAGGATCTGGTCACTTCAGCTGACCTAGAACAACAGGAGATCATCCAAGGTTCAGGGACGCCCATCCAACCCACAGCCAAACCTAATGCATGAACATGCCATAGCAAATTGCTTCCAATCACAAAGTCATTTTTTTCTAATGCAGCCATAGCTAACTGACACAGTGACTATAATTCAATTACACAATGCATTGCTTTGAATTGGCTCATTGCAATTTGATTTGTTTTGTTGTTGGTTGAATAGTTTTCACTTATTTCAGTGTGCGTGTGTGTGTGTGTGTGTGTGTGTGTATGTGTGTGTGTGTGTGTCTGTGTTCCAGTGGGTGAATGTGCACTTGTGTGGGCATGTCTGTGGAGATTAGAGGTCAACTCCAGGAGTCTTACTCAAATGCCATCCACCTTGCTTCTTAATCTTTTTATTTTAAAAAAATTAATATTGCTTTCTTTAAAAAATAATATTGCTGGGCATGGTGGTGCAAGCCTTTAGTCCCAGTACTTAGCCAACTAATTTAATTTTTTTTTTGAGAGGGTCTCACACGGTTGCCCAGGCTGGTATAGAACTATGTAGCCCAGGACTGCTTTTAAAATCAGGACAATTCTCCTGCCTCAGTGTCCCATATTTTAGGAGTGAGCCATCATGTCTGGCTTGCCATTTAATATTAACACAGGCAGATGTGGCACAAGGGAAACTCTTTTCTTTCTTTACACCCTGCATAATGTTTACTATGCATCTATTACAAACAGGATTCCTCACTTTAGAAGGGTGGAGGCCGTCATTGGATCTTCACATTAAGAGCTTAGGTAAACTATTTAAACTACACAAAGCTAGTAAACAGCGTGTCAAGTATAAATCTCACACAGACTCTGAATGCATGCCTTTTCTACTATACATGCTTGGCAGAGGTGATGAGAACAGAGGCGTAGTCATGCAAACTGTGACAATGCTTATTCACACAAACACATTAAAAACAGTTACGAAGAGTGAATCACAAGGAGCCGCGTGTTTTAGACAAGGTGGAGATGGGGGAAATTACCGAGTGACCAGTTTATCAAGAAGGTTTGGAAAATAAGGTGGGATTCCTGGAAAAATAGAAGGGAGGAAACCTTCTCAACAGGTAGTAGAAGATGACTAAGGTGTGACCCACAGAAGATATGGGTGTCCTGAGATGGTACCAAAGAGAGTTAACTCACACCCCAAAAGTAACCGAAGAAAACAGAAATAAGCACTACAAAATCTGTCTGTAATCCTTTGGAATGTGTATCCTTGTTCAACTCCTTCTTCCCTTCTCCCAGTTCAAGTCTTTCAAAGTAGAAGCTGAAAATTGTCCTGTGCTTACTTGTAGATTGTTTGTGTATATTTTACTTTTATGACAGAGTCTCTAAGATCAAAGAGGTAACCTGAAATTACTAAAAGCAATTATGGTACATTAAAAATGCTTACAGCATACATTTATTAAATAGATAATTTCATAACCTAGGGAAATAACCAACATTCTTTACTAAAGATGTGACTAAATTATCCTGGGGTTTAGAGCCTCGTCTTTCATCTTGTGTGTCTACCATCAGATGCATGAAGTTGGAATAATAAATCAGAGCAAAGTTTGTGCTGCCTGGACCACATGGACTGCTGGCTTCTCAAAGGATGGCCTGCAGTTCCAGTACGTGAGCATCACCTAGAGTACTGTTCCAAATATTTCTGCCTGGGAGTGAAAAAGAAGCCTTTCTGGGGGTCTGGAGAGATGGCTTGACAGTTAAGAGCACTGGCTGCTGTTGTAGAGAGTTCAGTTCCCAGCACCCACATGGCAGCTAACAACTGTTCATAACTCCAGCTCTAGGGGATGTGACGCC